CAAGCTACCAGCCTTCCCACGGAGAATTCCCAAAGTAACTAACTACCTCCCTTCGCCTTACTTACCCGCTTAACAGATAGACAAACAGACCCCTGCTGTCTTTTGAGACATGTACTAAAGACAACCCCATAATTACGGGGGTAATCCCTTAGTATAATTGCTTTTTTATAACTACGTACGGAGTAGCATAGGTACTGTAGGTAAGTTGAGCCCTGAAATTAAGATCAGCGGTTGAACCCACGATTTATTCGGACTCGAAGCGCTTAACAGGTAACTATGTGGATACATAGTAGGCTGTGATGATGATGGATGACTGCGTTAATGTACAGGCATGGCATGGCATAGCATGAAAGTGGCTATGTAAGCAAGCAAGTAAACTTAGTTTTTTTATCCTGCTTGCATGCTGTACCTAGTGACTCCATCGCTGTGCTGTGTGATGAGTAGTTTACTTTTGTTTTCTTTTGTACTCCATATTTAAGGGTACATAGAACATGTGTTTTATGTATGTATGTATGTACTGTGATGCGGAGGTGCAGATATGCATATTTGCCTTGTTTTCTTGCTAATATCTAGCTATCACAATCTTGTTTAATAGTATAGTCTTCTATACTATAAACTATAATGTGTTATAACCTTTAGTAAAAGCAACCATTTATATACTCTTAAGTAATTAAATAAGTAAGTAGGTATCCCAACACAATATATTTCCCTCCCCAGTAAACCCTATGTCTATCGACAAAATACTCCATATGATGATAGTAATAAGAATAATATACTTCTGACCCATCCAAAGACCAACCAGATACATCATGATCCACTAAAGACAGAACTTCGGTAAATAATGGTGTTCACATATCACATCACATCCCCATCACCATACTGTAAGTAGAAACCCTGAAACTGAAACCAATAAATGACCTCATTAATTCTCCGATTTACCCTACCGCCATTATACATAGTCTCATAACAGCAAAAGCAAAAGTAAAAGCAAAAAGCAAAAGTAGTACCGTATAGAGTATCAATCTACTTCCCTACAATTATCCATATCCCCTTATTCCATTACTTTACCACCTTTTTTCCGCTTACGAAGTAATTAACAATATCAATCGTCATCATCATATCCCAACATACCTCATACTTCCCACCCCTTGACAATAACTTATCCACGGTATACTCAACAGTAGCTGAGATGCGCGTGGTGGAAACAAAGCGGCAACTACTAAACTCATCGGATTTACCATGTCAAGTAAAGTAAGTAACATAAGTGGACCGGGATCTCATCCCGTCTGTTAGTCAATCATCAACCCATCAATCAATCGATCAACTAATCGATCAATCAATCAATCAATCAACAAGTCCCGTCCCATGGAACCAACCGTTAACCCACACCTAGAATCCAAGCCTCAGCTGAATGAAGCCAGTGGGTAAGTAGGTGGCTGCCTGGACGTTGTGGAGCACACGCGGCAAGTCAGTAGCACAGCTGAGCCTCATTCATCATCATCATCGAATGATTCATCAATTTGAAGACGTTCTAGAAAGTGCTGGGACCCGCGGTTAGAACTACGTACTAGGCTTCTGGGGTGGCACGCGTCGTAGTCGTCCGGGTTTGCCTCCCGCCCCGGGATCACGGATCATGGATGGATCCATGGGGCGTAGTTCTACTAGTAACTCCGTAGCTGGGTTTGCCACTGGGCGTGCCCCGGATCCAACCCAACATCCCATTCATCCGCATTACTCAGTATAGTTATGGATGATCGGATGCGATCCTCGCTCTTTGTTTACTGGCGAGTCATCTTGTCATACTTTTATACCAGTGGCAACGATCTTCGGTGGATATATTTCTCAATTGAGAGGTGAAAAAAAGTACTACTATGACATAATATGTACAACGGATGGGCCCGCAATCATCTCAAAAAAGTATACTCCAGATGAGAAAAAGAGAAAGGAAAGTGATTACGCCTTGGGTCGAGACAGAAACGGATGTTTCAACGCCTCTGTCGGCGTGCACCGCTTCTCCGGATTGAGGTTCAAGCATCGGTCCAGTAGATCCACAAATTGGGCCAGCTCTTTTGCCTCACTGTCTGTCATGCCTCGTGTCTCCTTGCCTCCCATTAGCCGGGTCTTCAAGTCCCGCGTCGGCTTCTTGAAGTCCAGCACCCGCGTGACTGGTCGCCCGGTGATCTTATCCTCTTCCATGCTCAAGAAGTTAAGCATGTCATCGAAGTGCATCGGCGTCAGCGACCCTCGCCGCAGCAGCTTCGGCGGATATTTGCCACGGCATTCCATGATGGATCGTAGCATCTGGTTGTTGTTGCGCCCCGTAAACAGGATCTTGCCCGTGTACAGCTCGAACAACGTGCAGCCGATCGACCACACATCAATGGCGTGGTCGTACGGGATTCCCAAAATAATCTCGGGCGCCCGATAGAATCGACTCACGAGATACGGTGTGATCTCGTTCTCCGTCGCCGGGGATGCCGATCCCAGGTCGCACACTTTGAGGATGTTGCGTTGCTCGTTGACCAACAGGTTGTCGGGCTTGAGGTCCGCATGGAGAATGTTGCACTTCCGCATCAAGCTGAGCCCCAGGAATATCTGCTGGGCATACGCCCGGATGGCTCGCAGGTTCAAACCAACGTCGCGGCCGAATTTCTTCAAGACCTCCCGCAGGTTCATGCTCAAGTTCTCAAACACCATGCACAGATGTCCCTTGTGGTCAAAGTACCGCTCAAACTTGATAAGATGCTTCTTGTCCTCCGGATCGGCCTCGTGGAGCTGCTCCAGGATGCCGATTTCCTTCATGCCCGCCTTCTTCATCGTGTCATTCTGGCGGATGATCTTGATGGCAACCAAGCCACCAGTCTTGGAGTCCGTGGCGCGTACGACAGATGAGAACATGCCTTTGCCTAGATTCTGTTGCACATGGTATCGCCCGTTAATCAACTCACCCAGCCGGACATTGTAATATCCTTCCGGGTCGTCCCAGTTGTCCATCATACTGATGTCGAGCTCCTTGGGCTGCGGGACTGCCGACTTAGCCGATGCATGCGTTGGCTGCGTAGTCTCCTGCGTGTCTTCAGCGAACATATCATCGTCATCATCCTCTGCGAACATGTCATAAGGATCCTTCGCTTTGGGCTGAGGCGGGGGTTGAACAGCGTCGGGGAGCAGGATGTCCTGTCGGGAGGTTTGCGTCTCGTCATAAGACGCCGCAGACAACTCCTCATTAGCACCACGACTATCATGCCTCTCCCTCTCCGCTTTCATGTCCAAGGTAGGGTCGTAGTCTGCTGCAGACGGACCATCTTTGTCCACACCGTTTACCGGTGCGCCGTTCATTAAATCAGCATCTTTGCCTACTTTGAAGTCAGAGAACAACTCCCCTGGACTATCAGCAGGTGTCTCGGGTGCTGACAACGGTGCTGCTTCTGTAAATGAACATGCTGTTAGCTACAAATTCACTCACTTCAACACGATCTAGCGGTCAGAATCTTACCAGAAACAGCACTGCCTGATGCGGCAGTATCAGCACCTGGAGTGGACGAATCTCTACTACTTTCACCGATGTGAAGTGCCTGCAAACGCATCGGGGTAGCTTGGCCGCGGTATTTAGCCCGGATTGCTTCACGTCGTTTGCGACGGGCCTCTAACTGGGCTGCTTCGTCAAGGGGTTCGGCTGGGGGTTGTTCGTCGTGAGTTTCGGACGCCCCATTCACACTAAATTCATTAGCCTGGTACCATCTACCGACTGGGAAAACCTACCTATCAACATGGGCATGTAAGGTGGCAGAAGCTTGCTGCACCTGAGGTTTCTGAGTTTCAGCATCTTGCTTAATACCTTGAGCGACGACTGGAGTGTTCCCTCGCTCGCTCACTGACTGTTCAATAGAAGCCCCCTTCCTGCGATTCCGAGAGGCAGTACTCTCATCTCTTGGAGACTCCCACTCATCCCCGGAATACTGCTTAGGCTTGCGAACTTCGCGGTACGGCGACCGGCTCCGCGTGCGCGCGCGTTTCTCTCTGCGGCGATCAGATTCGTCGCTATATCGAAGGCCATCGCCGTAGTGCTCTTCACGGTCGTAGTCATAATAGGAAGGCCGTGCGCGTCGGTCGGGCTGACCTCGTCCGTAGTACCGGCTGTCATCGTATCGGGATCCGACGCGTCGGGGCGGTTCGTGTCGGTATCGCCGGTCGTCATGGTCATAATCATCATATTCATCATCCCGGCGCCGCTTGTAGCCTCTGTAATCGCGGTAGGGAGAACGGGACCGCGTACGCGAGGTCGACCTGGTCCTGGTCCTCGATCTCCGGTGTCGTGGCGATCTGCTCCGCGTCACGGATGCAGGACTAGCTCTGGTGGGACGGTCAACGATGCTGCCATTAAGAGGAAGTTTCGACGTAGTTGCCTTCGTCTCTGAACCTGATTCGATGATCTCACCCTCTGAAGGGGTCGATGGAGACCTCGACCTGCGGGATGCCATGGTGGTATATTACCAGGCTCACTCAGGGATCCTGAAGATGAACTAAAAAAGGTATGGGCTGGCTCTTCGAGCAGCTTCAGAGACAAAAGAAGTAAGTCCCGGTTAGCAAGAACGTTTCCGACGAAGCGTTATTTGGGAGGAGTGTATTGAGAAAGTCCAACCGGCTGAGAATGCCACGGCCCTTGCCCTTGACTACCGTCTCAAGAAAGCATGAGACAGTGTTATGATGTGTGATTTTGTTTGAGGTTCCCTCAGATCCTTTTGTATTTCAAAAAGTAGATCGACAGAACCAGATAGATGGGGGTGAAGGATGGAAAGACTGGATGGATGGAAACTTGGCAGCGATATGAGGTGCGAAAGTAGCCAAAGTTGAGATGGGGAGATGCCCGGGCGGTGAGGGGCGGCCGCCGAAGATTTTGCGGCTAAGCGGAAAGGAGACTAGTGGCTCCCCGCGGGACAATCGCTGATAAGCAGCCGATTTTTTGCGACGCCGCGATTCTTCCCCTCCTCCAAGACTCGCAGCAAGCGCCACTTCACATCCTCTTCCTCCACGCTCACTACACTTTTATTCTACGACACAATGGGTGGTCAAAGCAGAGAAGGTAGGATGCCGCCACTTATTCAGAAGCTCATCTTTCATGGCCTCATACTGATCCCCTTTCTGCACAGGTGGCAAGGTCAAGCCTCTCAAGTCCGCCAAGAAGGACAAGAAGGAGCTGGACGATGATGACCTCGCCTTCCAGGCCAAGAAGAGAGCTGGTATGTTTTTCGTTACATGCAAAACTGTGGTAGTCACTTTGCTAATCATATTGGGCATCTGCAGAGGAGAAGGCCAAGAAGGAACTTATGGAGAAGGCCAAGGGCAAGGGCCCCCTGAACACTGGTAACCAGGGCATCAAGAAGTCTGGAAAGAAATAGTCGGACTGTGGGCTTGAGGTTCTATATGTCCTCACGAGATACAACGAGCTACGACCCACAACTCGGTGTGGAGTATTTGCATATGCATTGAGCACTAATACCATGAGCAACCACTTTTCTTTGACACCTTTTCATTTCATACAATAATGCACCTTTTGCTATCCACCAGAAATATCCATACCGTCAATCACCAGGATCAGCTTCATGATTAGGAGCCCCAACAAGCGGAAAGGGTATCATTGCGCACGGCACAGTAAGAAGATAGCCCACTGGCATCGTTAGGAAGAAGTAAACATAAACCCGCTGTATGCTGCCCAAGGGTATTCGCAACGCTCAAAGACACGCCTCGGCCAATATCCAGCAGCAGGAAAATCTGACCAAAGGATGGTGAAAAATGAAATAAACAAAATGACAATGATAGAGGATTCAAGGGAAGGGAAGGGAATCCTGAAAGATACCCAGAAAAGAAATCCAACGGCCACAGCCGATGCTCTTCAACTAGTCACTCGTTTGACCCACAAGCTACCCCCACCATACCCAAGATCGTCGCGCTTTTTCCAAGCCCTGAACAGCTTCAGACCTATTTCGTGCTCTTCCCGCTTGATCTCCGCAAGTTCTGTCTCAAGGCTGGCCACCGTCCGCTTCACCTCGTCCCTGGCTGCCATGTCGTAGGCAACGGAGCTCGGCTGGATCACTTGAGTCAATTCATAGATGATTGTTTCGACGTTCGCTCTCCGGCGCGTCAGGGTGTCTCTGCGAGCCTCCAACGTCTGGATGCGGTTCTGGATCTGTTCTTCTGGTGTAAGTTGTAACTGATCCTTAGGCGGTTCGGCTTCAGCGGCCTGCGCCGGCGTGGGCTTTCTGGTGGGCTTTTTTGCTGGCGCAACGTTACTAGGTACAGGTCGTTTCCGAGACATGATTGACGGGACGTGTTCAGTGGACTGAGATGCGGCGTCTATGCTACCGCGTGCACTTCCAACAGAGCTGGCGGTTTCTGTAGGTTCATATGTAGTAGCGCTGAAGCGGCTTGCAGGTTGTTCGGCCGCGTCATCAGTTGTCAACTTCAAGTCAGCCAGCGATGACTCCCAGTCATCTGGTGCGGGGAAATCAACACGGGGCGGCTCAGCACTGCTGACAATGCTCGGAGCCGGCTCCTCCGGGGTTCGTGCTCGGAGATTATCCCTGCTAGTTGTGTGCTTAACCCTCTCCGACGCCTTTGGCTTGGAATCACCAGCCGTAATCGTGGTCACAACAGTCGGAACAAACCCGCAATTGGCATAATCGGGTGTCGTGCTGTGCGCTTCTCTTAGTCGATCGTTACTCCGGGACATGTGCACACGTGATGGTGATCTAGCCCTCGGCTTTTCCTGGATGGGTGCTATTATCGGAGCTCGTCCACTAGGTCCCTTCCAGGGCTCGCGCACTCCCGGTGGGAGCGTGTTCTCGGTTTTGGACAGCCGGGTGCGTGGCTCCGATAGTTTCCTTTTCGTATTCAAGTGATCCTTGCTCCAGCCAAAGATATTCGAGCTATGGGATGAGGCAGGCTTTGCCGAGATTTCGGTGCGGAACGAAACGCTGCCAGGAGTTGTCGGGCCAGATCTGCTGAAGTCGCTGGGCGTTAGCTCGCCAGATAAGTCGTCCCATCTGGATGTCTGGCTTCTGGAGGACTTGGGCGTTTGTAGCCGGTCTGCCTGCGAGTTGGCGCGCTTGCGCAAGACGGGCAAATGGCTAGCGAATTTGGTGTTCTCCTTGTTCTCCATGGATCCGGCGCTCGAATCGAGTGTGAAGTCGTCTTCTATGGGTGACACACGCGAGCTGACGCGACTCGCCGGTGGGCGACCGAAGGAGATGGGGGAATCCGGGGGCGAAATGCTTGCACTTTCGGGTCGATATAGGTCGTGAGTGAAGGTAGCTGGGTTTAGGAGATAATTATGCGATAGGCTAGCAGAACGCTGGTGAGGCTGGTCACCAGTAGCAATGTCCAGGGCATGGGAGGTAGACGCGACCCGTCGACCCGTGTCGGGACGTTGCGCAGGAAGGAGCGAGTCCGTCGGGTTGCTAGAACGTATTAGAGAACACAGCTACTTTGATTACAATCAGGAGAGAAGGATGAAACGACTTACCGGGCAATTGCGGGACGAGACTTGGGATGGGCCAGTGTGTCACTGCTCTGGTTGCCCGGAGCGGGGGACAGAGACCGGTAGACACTATCATCTAGGGTCTTGTCGATCAGTGTAGGTTTCCCGATCACGGGCTTCCGCGAACGATGGAAAGACATTTTCCCCCACATGTTGCCGGTTGGACTCTTAGGTGATAAAATTGGGTGAAAATGATGGAAGATCGGTGGTTAAAACTGATTCAACAAATAAGTATCAGACCCCGCGAGGCTAGAACGAAAGTCCAAAATTCCGGAATGTGATCCGTATCTCAACGCATACCTTTAAAGTATTTCTAGATCGTGGTGGAATGGCTAAGCAAGGAGTGACACAAAACGGTCGCTGATTATCATAGAAGAAGAAAAAAAAGCAATATAGTTATGCTATGGCGAATAGAGGTGGGTTTCATGCAGCTGACATGCCTGCACGTCAGGGAATAGAGCTGAATTGGAGCACAGCAGAACGAAGGGGAGAGGGAGAGAGAAAGAGAAGACGAAGAGGGAGGAGAACTAGTGGAGAAGAGCGAGTGAACAATTAATTAAAGGGCTAAAGCTGGTGTTATACTACAGATAAGACCAGACAATTGGCTTGAAAGAAAAGAAAAATAAATTAAAAACGCACGCAGATGCAAAAGCGAGGGGAAAGAATGGAGAAAGAAAGAAGAAGAAAAAAGAAAAGAAACACAGCTAATTCAAGGTGGTCCTCTCTTTGAAAGCAAACCGGTTTGCCTGCGTGCGAGAAGCGGAGAAAAGAGTAAGTAATAGTAGTAACTAAAGAAGGGATGAAAATTAATGAATGAGAAATGAATGGAGCACGGAGAAGCAACTGACAGCAGCAGCACCAGCACCACTTGGATGCAGCCGGGAGGATCCTGTTTCAGAGTCAGTCGGTTAGTTGTGGATGGTCCTTCAATTCTAATTTTAACTGCCCCCATGGTCGAGAGCAGCCCAACGCTCCATCGCAATTAGAGGAGCATCCCAAAATTAGTATAATTACTTTTAGTATAGTTGAACCAGACAGCAATCTCCGTCGCACAGACTCTCAAACGGTCTCCCAGGAATGGTCCGATCAGTTGATCTTCTCTGCCTTAAGATTCTTTGGGTTAATCGTCCGAGCAAAGATTATCCACAATCAACAGTACGTAGTGACTAGTTAGTAACTACTTAGTAACGGAGTAAACAAACACTTAAATAAATTATTGACTGCCTGACCCATCAGGCATGAGCAAGTATACTATCACGTGCCGATAACCCCGTGCCGTACCGTATCAGTACCGTAATCGGCCCTGTTCTCCGCACTCAATCCCCCTTCACTGATTGGCTCTTCTTCTCAACTTCGTCATGATCGCGAGTTCCGCGGCTCTCCAACTCCAGCATCATCATCATCTTCATTCCATCACTTTCTCTATCCCCCTCACCTAAAGTTGACACACATCTATACCACAAATCTCCACTCACTCAACTCACCATGTCTACCCCAGGTACTCCCAAACTCTACACCATCCCCCAAACCAACAATACAATCAATCAATCAAACAAACTAACCCCATCCCTCCAGACGAAGCTGTCCCGCAGCCCGCCGAAGTGTCAGTTGCTTACTATCCTCACCCACCACCAACATATTACCCTCTCCTCTAGTCTACTCTCCCCCAAGGAACCCTCACTAACAAATAACCACTAAATTTAGCATGACAATCGCCACCCCCATCAACCTCATCCTCCTCTCCCTCTTCGTCATCCTCGTCTACCTCCAACTCCGTCCCAAAGCCCCCGTCAGCCTCCCCAAGGGTCCTCCCCCCGTCGTCTTCCGCACCTTCACCCCAACCACTCTCCTCCCCTTTAACGGCGAGAATGACGCTCCCGTCTACCTCGCTGTCCGTGGTCGTGTCTTCGACGTGACTCCCGGCAGGAACTTTTACGGACCGGTACATACACACCTCCCCTAAACCCCATTCCCCTCATTTGAAGAAAAAGAAACAGTAGAGCGACTAATGAAAAACTATGAAACGTGCAGGGCGGACCCTACGAGAACTTCGCCGGTCGCGACGCTTCCCGCGGTCTGGCATGCCAGAGCTTCGACGAGGAAATGCTCACCAAGGATCTGAAGGGTCCGTTGGATGATCTGAAGGATCTGGATAACGAGCAGTTGGAGAATCTGCAGTCGTGGGAGGAGCGCTTCTCTGAGAAGTATTTGGTTGTTGGGAAGTTGGTGGCCGAGGGAGATCCGGAGGCTAAGAATGCTTGATCTTGCCAATTTTTATTTTTGTGATAGTGGAGTGGGTTCGATGGGTTGGGATTGTGGGTTGAGTTGGGCGGAGAGGGCTACATAGATGTACGTTTGGAGATGGTTTCAAGGGACCGAGGATATTATCATCGAGTTCGGTATAAGCGATTCATATCTTATCTTAAAAGCGTTGGTATTTTAGTCATGCTGTATGAGGATCAATTCATTTCAGTTCAGTGGTTTTGGGATCTTAAGCTGACATTGATATGATCGGGTTATTGTACACTTGGTTGCATTGTTCGATTTGAAATATCAATAACTACTAAAATTTATTACTTGAAGATTTCCACTTCCACTATTCATCCTTCCCTTCCGTCCCCAACTTTTGCACCAGACAGGATTCAGTGAATATCGTAGACCGCCTCCACCCCCTCTCAAGACCCGCAGTCATTATGTGATGTCATAACGTCGTATCCCTTGAACAACGCCCCCGATAAACATGAAGAACATTGAAGGAAAAGTATCAGAAGCCGGGTTGGTCTGTTTACAGTTCGACCCGCATGCTCGAAGCAGCATGGGATCCCTGAGCCTTAGCTTTCTCGGCAGCCTCAGAACCCTTAGCCTTGGCCTTCTCAGCGGCTTCCTGGCCCTGGGCACGACCACTGGACGCGCCAATCTTCAACTGGTCCAGAAGCCACTGGCCGGCCTCTTGCATCTTGGCGAAGATGGTTCCCGAAGGAGACGAAGTGCCGTAGCGGAAGTATTCAGCATTGCGACGAGCAGCGGCGCGAAGTTCGTTGATT